TAGTTCAGACTGGAGATGACACTTTGGCGGAGACAATAAGTAGAAGTTCAATGTTAAATTTTATACCTGCCTATCTCAGACAACTGAGTTATGGTTACCTATCTATCTCTGCCCCCTCCCCCCCACACACACACCGTAAACCACATCGAACACAAAGTCTTTGTGGGTTCTCCCACGTTATTGTTGATTCTTATGCATGAAACTCCGGGTGCCGGAACAATCGTATTCAGTAGAACCTCCCAGAAGGTAGGAAAGCAGACTCTGTGTGTGTGTGTGTGTGTGTGCGCGTGTGTGTGTGTGTGAATACACTGTTCTATGTACTCAATCGCTCAATCGAAACAACCCAGTCGGTGAATCGGACCAAGTTATTTCCACTCACGTGTATTAATCAAAAGATTTTGTTGGAGTGACACTAAGTTCAACGGTTATTTCATTCTCCAAAAGCCCCAGTATGATCGAAGGTGGGTGTCTAGGGTTACGGCTGATCACCCTTCCCTTGCAACTCGCGAAATACTCCCTTACGACCAAGCATCTCGAATAGCCACTGCTGAGGAAGCCCTAGTCACTACCTTCTCGTGAGGCGGAGGTGTTTTCTCACCAAAGCCGATATCCGGGATGATAACCGTATAGGTGGACCATTGGCAGTTCAACTAGGGGAGTTGGTCAAAAATCCTAACTCCAAACGAACCCAGAGGAAGTGTACGAACCACAAGCACACCTTCCCGGTTATGGTCACCGGCTTGATTAGGCACCAGGGTGTATTTGACACCCTGGACGTTTGACCATGTCCAAATGGCAAGTGATCCAATGAACTGGACACCGTCCCCCCCTTTCCACAATTGGATTGCGGTTTTCACACACCGCCCCGCTGCCTCATGGGTCAGGCTTTGACTAGCCGAAGGCTCCGCTTGTCGATTCCTCAAGATAAATCATCTGCCTTGACCTGCGCAACAAGCAGAACATGGAACGTTTTTTAGATGGTGAATGTTTGGATTAGCCTATTTGGTTTTTCACAGGTACCAGGCACTGTTGATGATGTTCGATGTGGGTTTCACTCCTTGGGAGATCGTTAATTCCCCACTGTTTGTTTGCATTTTAGTGCAATGGAAATATTTGTGATGACCGTCGACCGTGTAACCCAAGGGTAAGGGTTTGAAGTCCCAGCCCGAAGAATCGCAGTTAGAGTCCTGACAGGGACACAAAATGTCCGCACTGCTGACGAGTCCCAAACAGGACGAAACAGGTATCCAGTGCTCTTTGTTCCTTATCACGACCATTTCCATCGCACAAAAAGTGGACCGTTTTTCTTTTTCATAAAGATTATTGTACCATGATTTGCTTGGCACACAGCGTTGTGCCAGACGTGTGTGAAAATAATAATAATAGTCTTTAGTTCATTCTGGTTGAACCGCTGATCGACGACTCTAACGCTGTGATGACTGTCAGGACACTGAACTGTTTAGATACTGTGAAAGCTACCGTGTAACCAGGGCCATGTATTCACAGTGATTAAAAAATACTGGAATAACACCCTGAGAACTTCTTTATCTCTTTCCCACTTCCTCTCTCTCTCTCTCTGATACAATAAATAGTCTGGTTGTAAAAGTTTCCAACCCAACCCGGGTGCTCAAAGTGGATAGTATTCTTACGTTTGACCTGCCAGGTTCCGGGTTCAATTCCCCATTCCCAGTTGTGTCGATGAATTCATGCACTGCACTGAAAGGAGACCTAAATCAGGTCGAAACAGCTGTACAATAGTGCTTGCTAACTTTTCAGCCCCAGACTCATTTACACGACAAATTCGTCATATATATTCTTTCGGTCGTTCAGTGTTTTCATATTCCCAGTTCATCTTTTTTCAATCTGTTTTCCCAGTTTCCCAGTTTGTTGTCAATATATTGATTTGGACCCGCATCGTGAGCCATTACTCACTTGTCAGGTATGGAACAGCTAAATTGGACAGTACATTCTTAGGTGAATCCGTACTATCTAATCAGATCAATTCAAGAGGCCAAGTGGATTAAATTGCCCTTTTTTATCCATTCAACCCTCTCGCCTATTTTCATTCATTGCAATGTATTATTTGAATAGTTGTTTGAATAATCAAATGTAATCTGGTCTGTCTTTGTATTGTTCTAACTGAACTGATGTATTGGTAATGCATGTCCAATAAATCAGTGAATCGGAATTAAATTTTTAGCAGCTTTCTGCGAGTACTTTCAACTGTAATGATTGTTGACAATATTTATGTAATAACAACTCGTATCTAAGTATATCTTTCATCTGTGTTCTTGTGTCTTTTTTTGTTTTATTTACTTTCGTTCTTCATTTGTTGAATATTGTTGTGGCTTACAACTCACTGATTTGTGCTCATACATACCTGTGACCGAAATGACTGATCGATCGATCGGTTGATCGATTGACTGACTGTTTGAATGCTGGCTTGACGGCATTCGCATGTAATGCGACGTGTGAGCCGGACTCTGCCTGCCTGCCTGCTTGCCTGCTTGCCTTCCTACATACTGATCGTTCCTGCTGTCTACAATAAACTTACTGCTCCATTCTTCGTGTGCTCATTTACCCACTAATCTGGGACACAACAAGTATGCAAACATGCAATCAACTTTCAGGCCATTTCAAGATTGCCTGGGAAAATACAGTAATAAGGAAGATGGACAGTGGTGGGGCGGTTCGAACTCAGGATGTCCGTGTTAATACTTTGTTTACCTCAACCGCTTGACTATCATTATCCACTGATATTCAAAAGAACCCTTACAACTGTGGCAGTTAGTCTTTCTTTTTTATATAGATCAATAAAACACATTAATCAAGTAACTTAAGTCAGTATCTGTGGTTTGTACCCAGAGTAGAATCCGACACCCAACCAACTCGGTACCAGACAGTTTCGTGGCCGTTTGGCTTAAAATCACACCGGTTGGGACCATGAAGTGCCCATTGCTCCGAGTCCCGGGGTTCTGAAGTCAGAAACCGAACGATTAATTGGCAGATCATTTTACCTTTAGCCAGTTACCGTTAACCATACTATGCTGTTACGAAAGAGGAAACACTGTTTATTGTACGTATGAGATACATCTATGGTAATCCTTTTCTCTTCCATGGTCTTGGAAGTTAGCTTAACTGCATAGAAAAAAGTACAGTGGCGTAATTCGACACTAACACACACACATATATATAAATATATATATATATATAAATATATATATATAGATAAATAGATAGATAGATAGATAGATAGATAGATAGATAGATAGATAGATAGATAGATAGATACATAGATAGATCAAAAAGTCGCCCGGTGTTGTAAACAAGGTTATTGTGACGAAAATACACTTCCTTAATACAAGTTTATGAATGAACGGACAAAAGATTACCGGATACGTATGCCTGACGGGTGGCAAGAGCCGAGAACCCGGTTGAGTGCTTCCAGGGAAATTTTGTCCAGTCATTCACATACTACTTATGTATCATTATTATGATATA